CAGTATGCCACACATTCATGATGAAAGAATACTATTGCCCATGTATAATTACTGTGACTGACATAAGACTTTAAGCAACAAAACTCTCTCAACAGGACTAGCCCTTCCTGTATTTGAAATTCAATTTGTAGATAAGAAGAATTAAAAAGCAGAGAAATAGCTGGCATTGTAATCTGCTTTTGGACATAATTCAGTAGTCAAATTCCCTTTTCACTTTTTTTTGTTTCATGATATACACCATCTTTTCTAAAACTGGATTATTTTAACAATACAGCCTTATTTTCTAAAACAGTGCTTCTCTTTCTCAAGGAGGCAGATTTCTCTTTGGGAAAAATAAACTTGGCATAAAAATCAGAGAAGAAGAAAATAAAATGACAAAGGATGAAATGATTTCAGAAGAGCCTATTTAAACAGCTTTCTCCTCTTCCTTCCTTCCTGTTGGGGCTCAAATCGTAACACCCTACAGGTATGGCACCTTGGCATGCTGAGTGTTAAGTTGAAGGAAATTCAGAAAACTGCAGAAGCAGAAGGCAGTGGCTTCTGACCTCCTGCCTCCCTTTTCCCCTGACAAACTCTCACATGACAGGTATCTCGCTCTATACCCAGAGGAAAGAATGAAGAAGCCAAGAAGAATGTGATCAAGCCGGCCTCGCTAAATTGGCCCCGGTGTTTGACTGTTAGATCATACCTCCTTTTGTCTAATCACACTGGCATCCACTGTCCAGCCCTCAGTAAGCCGAACAGAAAAACAGATTCCCCTGGGTGTTTAGGTCTTCATTTCTGAAGGATCTGGTGTCACCTAAAACTTACATTAAATTAATTTGTTAGGCTTTTTCTCTTGTTCATCTTGCTTTTGTTATAGGAAGGTCCGCCAGGATCCTTGTGATGGACAAGGAAAACATACTGTTCTTTCTCCCTACCCTACAAAGGGTCAAAAAGTCCCTCACAGCCTTCATCTTTAGCTCATGGCTATAAAGCAGATAGTGTGGCTTATCAGCATTATTTGAGGGTTATGGTGATTGATAAGTCAACCAGAGGAATTTGGAATTACTACAGCTGTTATAGGTCCATATGTTTTTCTTCTTTTTCAGGTTTTGCTTGATCTCCATTTCAGACTCACAATGTGACCTTGGGAAAATTGTTTTACCTTTCTGAACACCATTTTATTCCAAGGCTCCCCAATAAGGTGCTTTCCATTTCTAAAAGACAGATGAGGTATTGAGTACAGAGAATCTACAAATCAGATTGAAATATAGGATTCATCCAGTCCTTAGTTATGTACTTGTTTTATAGAAGAAATATATTATTTGAGAAAAATACTCTATTACTAAATAAAATGAGCTGTGGAAGATGGCCCAAGTGTCTGGGCCCCTGCCACCACGCGGGAGACCTGGATGAAGCTGCTACTCCTGGCTGACTCCTGCTTGTTGTGGTTATCTGGAAAGAGAACCAACAGTTGGAAGATCTCCTTCTCTCTCTCCCTCCCTCTCTCTCTCTCTCTCTGTCTCTCCCCCTCTCTCTCTAACTTTGACTTTCAAAATAAATAAATAAGTCTTTAAAAACCAAAATAGTGTATTTCTCCAAAGGTAGTTCTCAAAGAGGACACTCTTCTACTTTAGTTTTGTAAAAACAAAAAACAAAAAACAAAAAAAACCACAAATGAATAAATAAATAAATGAAAAAAACACATAAAAATGGAAATAATGCAAAGAGATGGCAATGTGTCCTGTGTACTACTGCAACATTGTCTAACAGGTCCACTCAAAGATTACTTAATTGGGTGGTGGTGGTGGTGGGGTAATATTCTTTTGTTTACATATTATTTGCTATTGATTCTAGCCTTAATTCTGTGAGTTACATGTTAAGACAGAGGCGCCAATGAGTTCTTTCTAGTGGAAATTCAAACTCAAAGGCTATGGTTCTATTGCACTATAGATTCTCAACAAGTTTGTTTCTAACCTAGCAATCCTACTCCACCCTTCTTGTCTCAATTTCTATAAATACTCAGTTCTCCAAATGCTCCTTGGAGGGTGAGCTTATCATCCTGCTGGTTCCCTCATAAGTGAGTTTGTGTGAATTCTGACGCACTCTGTAAGAATCAGAGTTGAAATGTCTAAACATTTTACTTTGGCAGGTTTCATCACTGTTTTTGCTACTTTCCTACTGCCACCACCTGGAAGAGTAGAGGGTTGCCCAAAGCAGAAAAAAATTCTCACTCTAAGTACTGAATGCCTTGCTGGTTGGATTTCCATACATTTTTTTGTCTTCATCTGATTCCTTTCCCTCATTTCATGATGTCTGTTGTAGTGACTGTGTGCAATTACAGCAGATTACTGGAATTTGAGGCTTGTACTCATGTAGTTCTTACTATTTTCCAGCAACATATAGAGCGATTTGCAGTTTTGCTGAGGAGTGAATTTTGATTGCAGGTTTTGCAATACTGATGAGTGAAGATGAGTCAGAAGTATGGAGGGGGCCAGTAGCAGCCTCTGAATTTAAGCTTGGCTGTGTTGTTCCCTGCTGATTATCATGCAACCAGCTCTCCTGAAGTGATCAAAACTTTGTTTCTTTGAGTAAAAGGGGCTATTAGAGAAAATCATCTGCTAGTGTTGCTAATGGTAGCAAAGAGAAAGTTAAGAGCCCTAAGAAAGCAGAGAGACTAAACCACAATGCAGAAGGTTTGGAGGCATAGGATACACCTTCAGTTCAGAGCTAATTCAGCAAAGAAGCATAAGAACATGTTATATGTGCTAATAATCCATTACTTATGCAAATACATAATTATTTTATTAAGCTGGAAAATTTAAAAAATGTTATTGGTAGTGTAAGGGTTGCTGCTGTCTGGAAGTTAGGGCAATATAGCAGATAGGTCACTGAATTTGTGTTCAGAAAGGAAGGATTGGCTTTGGGTAGGATCGTGAATAGTAAAACGTGTGAAGGCAGAGTATGTGGATGCAGATGCTGAGAGGTGGGAAAACACGGTGCGGGGGGAAGTCTGTGGAAGTTCTCTTCAAATTGCTTTAATTTTCCCAGTGAAGTAGAAGTATGAAGGCAGGGAGCCCAGCATTGTGGCATAGTAAGTTAGCCTTTCCCTGTGGCGCCGGCATCCCATATGGGCGCCGGTTCATGTCCTGGCTGTTCCTCTTCTGATCCAGCTCTCTGCTATGGCCTGGGAAAGCAGCAGAAGATGGCTCAAGTGTTCGAGCCCCTGCACCCATGTGGGAGACCCAGAAAAAGCTCCTGGCTTCAGATCAGCCCAGCTCTGGCTGTTGTGGCCATTTGGAGAGTGAACCAGTGGATGGAAGACCTCTCTCTCTGTCTCTCCCTTTCTCTGTCTGTACTCTACCTTGCAAATAAACAAATAAAATCTCTTTAAAAAAAAAAAAAGAAAAAAAGACAGGGAGGGAGTTTGGGAAGTTGGAGAAGAGTAAAAGTGTGAAAATCTCCATGTCAATGGGAAAGTGAATAGCCTTGGGGAATAAATGTGCCTGCTTGGTAGCATTTATAGCCTGCTGAAAGTGAGACCATTTAGTATGACTGTGTATTTTCTTTCTCCAGTTTGGATTTTAACCTAAGAGAGGCAAAACAGTCGTGTGTGTGTGTGTGTGTGTGTGTGTAACTCTTGAGGTCAGCAACGGAATTTAATCTTCATAAGTAAGAGAATGATAACATCATGGAGGGAGGCATGATGAATGGTAGTAGATAAATGGATTGGTGGTTCTAGTGAGCCTGAAATATTACTGGGAATTGGATAGTAGGGAGAGTGGGCAGAAGAGATTGAAGGTGAAGGTCAGAGCAAAGAAGCATGAAAGTCACAAAATGGGTTGCATTTATTGTTGATGATGTGGTCCAGGGTGATGAGCCTGGGTTTAGAGGGTGTGGGGAATGGTTGGCCTGATCAATGGAGATGAGAAGTTCAAGGAGTTGAGAGGTCTGGGTGTGGAAATAATGTTCTACTCACGTGCCCAGAGCTCTGGGAATTAGGGTAGGAGTAGTATCGGAGAACATGCCTGAGAGTCAGGAACTGTCATCCACAGAAATTTGGGGGCTGCTGATGTGTGATGTCATTGGATGGTGTGAGGCTCAAAACCAAGAGTTTTAGAAAAAAGGGAGAGGGAGGGAGAGACAGAGAGAGAAGTCTTCCATCCACTCTTTCACTCCCCAATTGCCGTAACTCTAGGAGCTGTGCCGATCCAAAGCCAGGAGCCAGGAGCTTCTTCCCAGTCTCCCACATGGGTGCAGGGGCCCAAGCACTTGGGCCATCCTCTGCTGCTTTCCCAGGCCGTAGCAGAGAGCTGGATTGGAAGTGAAGCAGCTGGGACTTGAACTGGCACCCATATGGGATGCCGGCATCACAGGTGGATGCTTAACCTACCATACCACAGCACTGGCCCTGGAAAGTCAAGTTTTGATGAGAGTGAATGGTGATGGGAGTGTTCAGAGGATGGTTTGTGAAAACAGGAGCTGGGTAGCTAGCCACCAAGATATTTTCAAGGACCTAAATGTTATATATATATATATATGTGTGTGTGTGTGTGTGTATAATTTTATTTGACAGATAGTCAGACAGTGAGAGAGAGAGACAGAGAGAAAGGTCTTCCTTCTGTTGATTCACCCCCCAAATGGCTGCTATGGCTGAAGCTATGCTGATCTGAAGCCTGGAGCCAGGTGCTTCCTTCTAGTCTCCCATGTGGGTGCAGGGCCCAGGCACTTGGGCCATCCTCCACTGCCCTCCCTGGCCACAGCAGAGAGCTGGACCGGAAGAGGAGCAACCGGGACAGAACCCGACGCCCATATGGGATGCCAGCGCCAGAGGTGGAGGATTAGCCAAGTGAGCCACAGCACTGGCCCCCTACATGTTCTATTTAAGAACTGTTTTAGTTCCCTCAGTTTTTGAATCAGGACTGATCTGTGTGGTCAATGGAGTACTGCCTGGTGATGGTATAGACTTTCTGAGACCAGGTCATACAAAGCCCTGTTGCTTCTTCCTGTTCTCTTAGGCCACTGGATCTTCCAATGATTGACAGCCCTGGTGAATCCATCCACCAACCATGAGGACACTCAAGGAGCCCTGTGGAAAGAGAGGACCCCCTGCAACAACCAGCACTGACTGCCGCTAAGTGAATGAATTGCATTGAAAATGAATCCTTGGTGCCGGTTCTGTGGTGCAGCGGGTTAACGCTTTGGCCTGAAGCACCGGCCTCCCATATGGGCTCTGGTTCTAGTCCTGGCTGCTCCACTTCCGATCCAGCTCTCTGCTACGGCCTGGGAAAGCAGTAGAAGATGGCTCAAGTCCTTGGGCTCCTGCACCCATGTGGGAGACCCAGAGGAAGCTCCTGAAACTTTTAAAAAAATAATTGCGTGTTGGAGTTTCCTTTTCCCTACAGAATCTCATTGAGTTGACTTAAGGTGGGACTCAGACACCCATAGCTTAAAAAAAAAAAAATCCCTAGATGATTTTATTATGTAGCTAGAGTTGAGAAGCAACTAACACCTTACAGTATTATCTTGGGGAAATTTGAAGCTGAGAGACTTCAGCTTTATAGGAAAGGAATGGAGTTCTGACAAGTGTGATTGCAGGAGTGGGTGGGCGTGGAAGTCCCCAGGAATCATGCTAAGGGAGGTCTAGCACAGTGCTGGGAGAGGAGGTGGAGAGAGGAGGTGCTCGAGAGGGGCATGGATGAATCTGTACCAGGCAGATGCCCTGTGGTCTGCCTCTGCACGTCCTAAAGGCAGCCTCAGTACCAAGGGGAGGTGGCCTGTGGGGACCCCTGAGAGACTGCCTTAATCCGATGCACAGACGTCGCATTGGTTGTTTCCAACTGTGAGAAAAGGGAGGGAGGCGGTCTGGCTGGGAAGATGGTGTGAATCCAAATGTAGATGAAACCTAAATATGCCTTGCATGCATACACATTGATTTTCCCCCAAAAGTATATTGATATCATCACAGTGAACGAAACACACATTTTCCTTTAAAACATAGTATTGAATTCACAGCAGCCTGTTATTTTGTATTTTCTTGTTCAATAAAAACAAAAACTACAATTATTGATAGGTAGGAGTCATGGCTTCTTTTAACATTGAAAAAAAAGCTTTCATTTCATTGACAAAACTGAAACTCATCTGGACTGGAGGAACGAAGTTCTGGAGGAGTAAGGACATCCATGACAGTGGGAGGAGGTGGTGGGTGACTGTTCTGTGTGTGGACAAAATAGTCCATTTTATTTTGCACTGGAAGAAGATGGAGTAGACATGACCCTTGAGTGCCCCAAGTTTTTTTTTTTTTTTAATTATTTATTTGAAAGGCAAAGAGAGACTCATACAGACAGTGAGAACAAGATCTTCTATCCAGGGGTTCATTCCTAAAATGGTTGCAACAGCCCTGGATGGGCCAGGCCAAAGCCAGGAGCCAGGAACTATATCCTGGCTCCCACATGGGTGGCAGGGGCCCAGGTATTTGGGCCATCATCTGTTGACTTCCCTGGTACATTATTATGAAACTGCATCAGGAATGGAGTAGCCAGGGCTCAAATGGGCTCTCTGATATGGGACACCAGTGTTGCAAGCAGTAGCTTAACCTGCTGTGCCACAATGTTGGCCCCTGAGTGCCCACATTTGTTGTAAATAAAGCATCTTCAGTCTGTCTTTCTCAGAAGGTGAACCAAAATATTTTTAAATAAAATTTATTTATTTGAAAGGCAGAATTAAGGAGAGAAGGAGAAACAGACACACAGATCTTTTATCTGCTGGTTCACTACCTAAATGGCTGCAAGAGCTAGGGCTGGGCCAGGAACCTGGGACTCCATTGAGGTCTTCCACGTGGATTCTGAGGCCTAAGAGCTTGGGCCATTTTTGGCTGTTTTCCCAAGTGCATTAACAGGGAGCTGGATCAGAAGTGGAGCTACTGAAACTCGAACTGGTGCCCATATGGGATGCGGACATTACAGGTGGTGACTTAACCCATTGCCACCCCTTCTTCCCTCCAAATCATTTTTTTTTAAGTAAATGCACAAGAGCTTCATCCTAGGGGCCTGTTTTGGACTTCTAGGGTAGGTTTTTTACTTGTAGACTCTACAACATAACAGCATCTCTGATTCCTGTAAAGAGGGACCTTCTTCTGTCCTGATAATTACATCCAGAGTCATCCATTTCTTTATCAGTTCCAAAGAAGAAAGGGTAATTGCTCAAGGAGCATCCTTGCCTAAAATGAATGATTCTAACAGCTAAGTGCTTATCTTCCCTGCCACTCCTTTTTTTAAGCTGACCTCTGAACTGAGTATGCACAGGCCACTTGTGCATTCTCCATCTCACTAAGAAGTGAAATGACAATGACCAGTCACTGTCTCCGACATTTATTGTATGTGAAAGGCACTTAGGAGATGTGAAGACCAGGTAGTCGTGAAACAATTAAAAGGACTCAAGACTGAAAGCATCAACTATGACATTCAGCTGCTCAGTTATGCCAGCAAAATGGTGAGCGCCCTTTAGTGAGAGTCTTTAATTCGAATCTAGGCTCAAGGCAGGCAAAGGCCACCATGGTGATATAGTGGGGGATGAATATTTGATTGGAAGTCATGCGTCCTGACTGGTCTGAGTCCCTGCTCTGACATTTAAAACTTGTTGATCCCGAGTAAGTCTCCTAACCTTTCCATGTCTCAGCTTCCTTACCTGTAAATAGGTCACATGAATTTGTGCTCTACTACCTTAGCAAGTTGTGTGGGCAAAATGACGTAAGTATTATAAAAGTAATTCATGAAATATAGAAACATCATGCAGATATTATTGCCATTGCATTAACCATTGATGACTTTATTTAGTTAAAACATTACAAGCCAGATCATGGCTTCGCAACCCCTCACTATAATGCCCATCAGCAGTAAATATTTACTGCAGGGCCTGATAGTGATCGTGTGAGTTTAGGTTCAAGGTGATTGGAGATGCAGCTCTGTAGATGGTCATACACACAGATAGTTGGGAGGACAAATAGTCAAAAAATGTATCTGGGGAAGCGTCCTGCCTATCATTCCAGTGGAAATATCAACTTTTTGATACATCTGGTAATAAAGGGTTTTCACAAGTTATGGAAAAAGTGAAGATATTGGAACCCCAGGAAGCTTGTGCCTGGGAGGGAAAAACTGGTTAAACAGTTCCTGAATAAGGAGCAGCAGGAACACAGTGTGGAGCAACCCCTGCAGGTCGTCCACTGTGTGGAAGAAAGTTCCCCTTGCTTGCTGGGAGAGCATGACATAGATGGCCAGAAATCAATGAAAGGCAGCAGAAAATTGGTTAAGTGTCTCAGAACTGAGGTCTTTCCACCCTAGCAGGATTGTTTGCTTTCAGGAGATTGCAGACACAATAAACAATTCTTGTACCCCCTTGGTACTGTTGCATACAGGAGATCTTTTCGGTTCCTTAATTGTTAGCATTTTTGTGTTGCTTTCCTGTACTCAGATGGCCACTCCGCATGCTGCTTCCTTTGTAGTGCTTTGACTTCATGAATTATAATCATGAAGTTGAAGTTTCTGCTCCAGTTCTCAGTTCAGGTCCTCCCCCACCCCCCGGCTGGGGCCTATAGCAATTTCCCCCAGCTACTACCACCACACATCCTGCACACCCAGGAAAGGAGACCATACTGAGATATTTATTTGTATATGCCAGTATAATTCCCAGCTTCCTGGTAAGACAAGAAGACAACTTAATAGGATATCTCATTCTTGCCTGGACCTTGTGTATCTCTGTGTATTTGAAATTTGTGTAGCTTTGAACTCCTTTTCACTTTTTTTTTTAAAGATTTATTTATTTGAAAGAGTTACACAGAGAAAAAAGGATAGGTAGAGAGAGAGAGAGAGAGAGAGAGAGAGAGAGAAATCTTCCATGTGCTGGTTCACTTCCCAATTGACCGCAACGGCCAGAGCTGTACCAATTCAAAGCCAGGAGCCAGGAGGAGCTTCTTCCAGGTCTCCCACATCCCAAGAACTTGGGCCATCTTCTGCTACCTTCCTAGGCCATAGCAGAGAGCTGGATCATAAGTAGAGCAATTGGGACTTGAACCGGCACCCATATGGGATGCTGGCACTACAGGCGGTGGCTTTACCCCCTATGCCACAGCGTCAGCCCCCTAAGATATTTTATTTTGAAAGAGTTATAGGGAGAGGAAGAGACAGAGAATGGTCTTGCATTTGTTGGTTCACTCCCTAGATAGCTGCAAATGCCAGGACAGGGCCAGACTAAAGCCAGGAGGCAGGAGCTTTTCCCAGGTCTCCCAGGTGCTTTAGCAGAGAGGTGGATGGGAAGTGGAGCAGCCGGGACATGAACTGGTACCCATGTGGGATGCAGGCAGCATATGGTGCTTCAATACTGGCCCTTTTCCCTCTCTCTTTTGTGAAGATTTATTTTACTTATTTGAAAGGTTGAGTGGTAGGGAGAGACAGAGAGAAAGAGATCTCCCATCTGCTGTTTCAACCCCTAAGTGGTTACAATACCCAGGTCTGGGCCAGGCTGAAGCCAGGCCCCATCTGGGTCACCCACATGGGTGGCAGGGACCCAGACACATGTGCCATCTCTCTCTGCTTTTCTAGGTGCATTATCAGAGACCTTGAACTTCTTTTCCTTTCTAAGCACCTCCTTTAGGCCCGTGATATACCTCATCTGGGGCTGCTCATTTGGCTGTTCATTGGCTAGGCTCTAGTTTCACTTTGGCCCCAGTTTTATCTTTTCTGTTGTCCTATTCCAACCCCTGTCTCTTACCCAATACATCTGTTTTCCTGGTGAAGGATCTGGAAAGTGTGTGGCTGAGTAAGTAAAGCTTTCAGGAAGCTCAATTTTATCTTTGGTTTTCAAAGCTTCACAGGGCACATGAAAAGAAAGGAAAAAAAGAGAAAAAAATCCAAAAAAAGAAAAAAAAAGAGAAAAACACAATCATGACCTGTTCCACCTTTGCTAAGTGGAATGAAAGTAGACAGACCTACTTCATCAAAAATGTTTGTGGGGAGCAACTGAGACTAGATTAAATTACTTGGAACTAGGACTAATTCTATGCATCTGCTCTCCCACAACATGGCGCTGGGGGGGGGGGAGCAAACAACTTCTACACAGCTGCCTCATCAGTTTGATAAGCTGCAGGAGCTGATCCTGCTCCTGATTGGAGGAGAGCAGCGTGCTCGGCGTGTGGGTAGCAGAGTTGGGATTGGTGGAAGAGGACTATAAAGGAGGAGAGAGGCAACATGCACCAGGAACATCTGGATAACATCTGAGCAGCCCCCGAAAGAGTCGGCCACGGTGTGCCGCTCCTCTGCGGAAGCGGGGAAAGCGGCTGGGGGTGCCGCCCCCTCCACGGAGGTGGAGGGGCCGGCAGCTAACCCGGGACGGCGTTGTTCCTCTGTGAGTGAGGGAACGGCAGCTAACCCGGGAAGGGCCGAGCAGACAAAAGAACAGCGCAGGGTCCAGTGTCATTCCTCCGCGAATGGGGGAGCGACAATGTTCTTTTTTTTTCCAATATGGCCTGCCCATATTTCTTTATTTGGTAGAATTAGTTGAGCACTCTAAATTACAGGGGAAGATGGAAGGAGATGACTGTTGGATGCACTAAGGCTGACGTAAGGGCAGGAATCTGGGGAGGTGTGGTGACGATGACTGTGTTGAACTGTGCGTGTGTTGGCTTTCTCTTGGCTCACCTGCTTGGATGTGAGCGGCCTCATGAAGCTTTCCAAGTTCTTCAAGAAGAAGTCAGCCTGCAGCCATCTTCCTAATGATTCAGAAGACCTTCAGCTTGGAGGACTTGAGCTTTCCTGTGAACAGAGGGTGTTCTGCAGACACATCCTGCAGCAGAACTGTTGGGCAGATTGGTGTCCAGATGAGTTCCCTTGGCAAGTGGCACTGAAAGTTCCAGATTTGTGAAGTTAAAAACTGGTAGTGGATGAGTTTAATGAGTCAGAAGAAAGCAAACTTCAGTCACATGTGTATGAGACCTGTCCTGTTAACATTGAGGGTTACTGCTGATTTATGACACTGTAAAAAGGCAGCTGAGTCAGACCACGCCTCTAGTGCTTCTGA